ATTAGGCTTGTATGCTGTTTTGAGCTGCATCTTCCTGTTGGAGAAAACAGAATTCTGAATTCATGAGCAAAGTCCCAATTGCTCCTGCGACGCGGTGGCTGTACTTGTACCATCATTGCTTGGGTCTCTTTTCAGTACATACATTATTAGATGGTTAGTAAGTGTCCTCCTGAAGAGTCTGATTCTCTATGGAAGAACCACTAATGTCTCCAGGATCCCCAGGAGTGTTTCAACTTGATTATGATCTTGCTTAAGTTAAGACTGGAAACAATTCTGTTATAGTCAGGGGAACTGTACTAGTTCAAAACCAGCATCAGGGAGACTGAAACCAGGCTCTGAAGCATCTCTTGATCTCTAAGATGACAAGGAAGAGTAGTCTTTTGAAAGCTGGTTATGACAAGCATGGGGAAAAACCATAGTTCTATGGAGGCTTTCTGATTTGTACCGTTTTCTAGATAGGAAGGCTTCAACAATGTTCTCGACAAAGTAATGAATCCCACACTTTTTTCTAAGAAAAAATTAAGGACCAGACAGGAAATCTTGGTACAAGGATGTGGTTTCTCACCGGCCCCTGAAGAATGCCTAGAACAAGCCAGTAAGATCAGCTCTTGAAAGAGATTTCCCCAAACCCTCTTTTCACAGCTTTCAAACCCCATACTGAAATCTTGCCAAACTCATCACCAGGAGCAGATTTTTCCACATCAAATAAAATCAGACCTTACCAAGACAATGAATGCAAAACCTGCCAATGCATCTTTACTGCCACTACAATCCTCTTTCCCCCATTTAACATGAAAAGCCCATCAGAATCTGTGGATCCTACATGTGCGTGCCATCATGGAAAGTAAACTACAGCACACGTTCCCACAGAAAAATGCTGAACACAGAAATGCTCCATCTGCAATGGGAAAACATTTTTTAAAAAACATCCACTCCATCTCCGACCTCTCAATCCTTGTCTTCAAAGGACAATTTCTTTCAAAAACAGGTCATGGAACAGAAATTCATAATTTTACTGGACACCAAAACCCACCAACTTAAAGAGCATTAGTTTTACGGCTCATTATAACTTAATTATCACCTCTCTCTGCCAACTTCTCTGCTCCACAGGTGATAACTGTCCAGTCCCTTTTCCAGTGGTCCAATGCCATTTGCAAAGTTGGGTTAGAGGAGAGCAACTGTACTCACTTGTACTTAGCTTGGACTGTGCTTCTTTCCCAGACCTGATGAAGTGCACTCGCTGCCTGAAAACGTGTCTCCTCTCTCTCTCTCGTGTTCTCTCAACAAATTGGCCCAATAAAAGATACTACCTCACCTCACAAAACTTGCTTCTCTCATATTCCTGGACCACCCTGGGTACAATAAAATTACCATGAGGAAGCTTATACTACTTCTGCTCTTACAGAATTACGCATATGAAACTCTTGCAGACTTCATGAGATGTGTGCCTGTGGGGTCTATGGCAGGGGTTGGCAACCCGTGGGACACATGCCAGAGGATGGCATGTAAAGCCATTTAGCTGTCCCCGCCTGTGGGCATGCCCCTGCTGCCAGCCATGGAGCATGGGTTGCTCGCAGCAGATGGTGGGGAGGCTGCAAGCCCTGCTGTAAGCAACCCAGGCTCCATGGTGGGTGGCAGGGGTCTGCCCAAAGCCTGGGCTAATTGTAGCAGGAAGCTGTAAGGCTGCAAGCAGCTGCACCGGGGTCCGGAGCCCTGGCCTGGCTAGATGCTGGTGGTGGCTGCATGCACGCCTTGGGGAGCATGATGGGGAAGGGTGGGGGGGCTGCGCTGGCACCAGAAGGATTGGGACCCTTGTGGCTCCCTTGCCATCTGCCCCTGGCGCACCAACGTCTTTTATGTTGAGATTGTGGGGGTTTTGGCACTTTGCCCAAAAACGTTGCCAACCCCTGCTCTAGGAGAACAGTCCCACTCTGACAACAGCTGAAGATATCAAAAAAGACATGATGAAAACAACCTAATTGGCCAGCCAGACATAATTCATTGGAGCAGTGAGCATTTAGAAATATATTACTGCTCCTCTACTCTAATGGCATTCAAGATAAATACATGTCAGCAGCCTGAGTTTAATATGGAAGGTCATTTAAAAAAAAAAAAAAAAATCCAAGAAATGCCTTGCTGTTAACTCAATAGTTTTCTCTGATGCAACATGCTATGGATCTTAACATATTTTGCCAGTAAAGTTTTAGCCTGTTCAATTTGCAGTTCTCATCAATATAGAAATCAGCATCCATTCTACAACTGGCATCCACATACACACCTGTAGTCTAGGATCACAATACATACAATGACAAATGCTGGCAGGGGAAGAACTGCTAGCGTTTGTGAATAACCAAACTGAGATTGTGTCACCATATTTATTCGCATACCACACTCTCTTAAATAAGACACAGATCTTGTTTAGAGAAGACAGAACGAAAGAAGAAAAGATTTTTTTCCAGGGTTGTCTCTGCTATGGTACCAGCTCATTGAAAGCTGAACCCTCTGGCTGCACTGAGCAGTCCCACTGCCAGCATCACTCCCTGTCCCCCGGCTGCTCAGCCAACAGTAGCTGCCAATTCACTTAAGGGAGGGTTAAACTGTAGCTGTTGCCCCTGCAGCAGGTAGACAACAGGATTTAGCCCTGTTACATGCTGGAGCATTCAGCCCTGGGTAAGCCAGTGCTGAGTACAGCCCACGGCTGCCCTTGCAGCATCTCCTGCTGCCATTCCAGCATGGGAAGCAGCTTTCTTGCTCCTGACATGCACCCTGATTTTGGACGGCTAATTTTCAGGAAAAAGGTGCATGTGAATAAATATGGTGTTACATCTGTGTGCAAGCATATCTATTTCCTCTGAGGAATGGGAACTATAACGTGGCTGTCCCCACAGTCTATCAAGGTTACTTCTAGTTTGGCTGGAGGCAGGTCACGTGAACACCAATGGCAGAAAATGAAAGATGATGCACACAAGATGAAAAGGTAATGACTGTTCCTAAGCCACTGCTGAAGCTGTGCTACAGGCTGGCAGGACCTCCTTATCAGGCACCACTAACGTGCACAAATCTTGCCCTTAGTAGCTAACAAGGACAGTAAATAGCTTATTATTAGTGGTCTACCCAACTCAAGGAGGCAGCCGGCTGATTTTGTAGGCAGATCATGGGGCCGACTGCCATTTTTTTTAGAGCTTATTGTGGTCAGCTTCTCCCCCCGTCTCTGATTGGCTGAGGGGCCCCAGTGGCTCCACCCCCCCCACATCTGATTGGTAGAGGGGGCAGGGAGTCACATGACAAGCAGTCCTTAGCTAATCGGTGAGGGGGGGGGGGGGG